GTACGCGGCGCCGCCGCAGCAATACGCGGCGCCGCCGCAGCAATACGGGGCGCCGCCCGCGCAGTACGGGGCGCCGCCCGCGCAGTACGGGGCGCCGCCCGCGTACGGTGGTCTCCCGGGACCGCCGCAGCGCGCACCCGTGGGTGCTCCGCTGATGGATCCGAACGCGATCACGGAGTACATCATGTGCCCGCCGGAGAGCGCGGGAAAGGTGATTGGCCACGGAGGGGAAAAGATCAACGGCATTCAGAGCGAGAGCGGAGCGGTTGTGAAAATTCAAAACCAAAGCGACGTCGGACCGGGTCAGCCGCGCCGAGTCACCATCTCGGGTTTGCCCGATCGCGTCGCGCACGCGTCGCAGCTGGTGTACGCGCTCATCGGGGACTCGGGCGCGAGACGCGCCGCGCCGCGAGGCGCCGTCGGCGCTCCCGCGACGGCGGCTCCGCAGACGGAAGTCTTCGTCCCCGTCGAGTCGACTGACTTCGGAAAGATTATCGGACGCGGTGGCGATACGATTCGTCGTTTGCAAGAGGAGAGCGGCGCGCGCATGCAGGTCGATAGACCAAACAGCGGAGTGTTGATCACGGGCGACGCCAGCGGATGCGAGGTCGCTCGAACGCTCCTTCAGGAAGTGCTCGACGCGCAGGATGATCGAGGCGGCGGACCGAGCTCGTCCATAATCTCCATCGAGATCGATGCGCAAGGCCAGGAGGGTCGAATCATCGGCAAGGGTGGAGAGAACATTCGTTCTCTCTCGCAGCAGACGGGCGCCAAGCTTCAAATCATCAAGGAGACGGGCATGCTTAAAATCAGCGGCACCCAAGAAGTCATCGATGAGGCCGTGCGCGTGGTGAACGAGTTCATCGAGGCTCAACAGAGCGGTGGACCGAGGGGTGGTCCCGCCGGAATCCCGGGCGACGGCGGCGGCGCGCAGGCGTACCTCGACTCGGACAAGCCCGGATTGGTGAAATACAAGCCGCTCTGGGAGACCCACCAGAGTCCGGAGGGTTACACCTACTACTACAACACCACCACGGGCGAGACGCAATGGGAAGAACCCGACGACTACGACGGGTTCAGCTAGACGGCTATAAACCGCGCCTCGAATTCAATCACAATCAAATCCACCCAAATCCACCATCCTTCGCCCCGCGCACCTCGACGCCCTCCATGTCCGCCGAGGTCGACATCGCGTGCGCCGTCTGCCGCGCGCGCGGTGTGGACGTCTTCGAGCCCTCCGACGCCGGTTTCTTAGTGTGCGCGCGGTGCGGGACGCAGAGCCAACACCAAGCCCAAGAGCTCGGGCTCGCGAGCGACGACGAAAACGAACTCTTCCTCGGCGCCGGCGGCGGTGGGAACCGACGACGCGGGCTGAGGTACCGTAAAGTTCACCGACAGAGCGATGGCGCGTCGCGAGCGCGCTCGATCGGGGTGCACGAGGGAGTGAGAAGGCGAGACGCGTGGAAAGCGTTCGAGGCGTACGCGTCGGCGTTTCAGACGACGCTGGAGCGACAGACGCGAGCGTTGGCGTTAGTGGTGGATGAGGATGGGAATTGGTTGCGGGAAGAGGTGCGGGAGGTGTGGGATCGGTACGTTCGGGCGTGCGGGGCGATGGAGGCGATGGGGAGTCAACGGTCGAAGGCGGAGACGGAGACGGAGATGGAGACAGAGACAGAGACGGAGACGGAGAACATGCAGGAAGAGGAAATGGACGATCGAGCGAGAGGGAATAGACGCCAAAAGATGTCGACGACGCGGAAGTTGACCAAGCGCTTGCCGCTGTCGATGACGCTGGGGATTTTGTATTTAGCGTGCGCCCGGCGACGCGCGGCGCTCTTGCCGCTCGATTTGGCAAAGATGGCCGAGGACGGGACAATACCTTACCTAAACGTTCGAGGAATGATCAGAGAGACGTACGGGGAAGAGATATTTGCGACGCTTCCGCGCGACGACGCGTTTGCGATCGATGCCGGGCGGAAGCACATGCCAAGACCGGACAAAATCGTCGCGGCGGCGGCGTACGCCGCGGAGAAGATTGGCGTGGAGTTACCACCCATCAACGCCGCGGCGCTCTTGGGGCGCTTCGTCGGGGCGTTGAATCTCGGCGATGATGTTTTAATCGCGGCGCAGCGCGTTTTGACGGTGTATCTGTCCCCTCATCTGCGTTATGGCTACGGGAAGCACACGCCTGAGTCGACGCTCATGGCGTACGTCGTCGTCGCTTTAAAGTTCCTTTACGGATTGGACGGAAGGACGAAAACTAAAGGACTCCCCAGAAACAAGAAAAAGACTACATTCGTCTCCCCACCCGCGGTGGCGCCCGTGTCGACCAGGGGTTGGACCGCTTGGGCTCGAGCCGTGTCGAATCTAGGCGCGCCTTCTCGCAGTTGGACTGAGGCGGAGATCATCGCGCTCGATTCCGAGGAAAGGGATCGTTATTTACGATTCGTGTACCATGAGCAAATAGATGATCGTGTCTTGCCGTTTCCGTTCGACAGAATCGAGGCCAAGCTGTTGAAAATGGTGCCTCATCGCAGACTTAACGGAGACACAAGATTGGCGCACGTGACACCACCGGCGCCAGTACGAACGGAGAACGATGATCTCCTAAATTTCGTTCGCGATAAACGCGCGCTCGCTGAGTTATACGAGCGTCGGGTCAGGTTTAACACTGCGCTCGCCGTGTATGACGCTCGAGATTTTGCCGAGAAGCACGATACGCATTACGATCAGTTCGGCGCGAGGCGTAGCCAGCTCGAGGCTGATGTCGCCTCTCGCGCGGGTGGTACCGCGTTGCGCAAGGATACGACGACATCAGAGCGCAATTTGATCGCAAGTTTGGTGGCTAGGATGATGCAGGGCTCCAAAACGGACATGATGAATCTCGTCGGTGGCGACAAGGCCGCGGCGCAGGTGAGACTCACGGCTTTCGTTCGACAAATCGTCGCGAAGACGCTTCCTAGGAATGTCGTGTTCAACGGGAGCAAGCGTCAGTGTGAATCCATCGCACGATCATGCGTGAAAAGTGTTGATGAAGAAGACAAAGCGCTGGCGGCGTATTTCCCCGGGACGAGGAAGGGACGGAAGGAGAGGGAGCTCCATGGAGCGGTGAAGGTTGCTCTCGAGGATATCGCTGCAGAGCAGAGGCTGAGCGACGCCGTTTCAAAATTCGCAGTCGATGGCCAGGTTTACGACGCTTCCTCTAAAGAGCTAGCGGCGACGTGCGCAAAGCTGATTTGCACTCGCTCGGCATCGTTTTACTTACCGGCAAGTTCTAGCGAGCTGGTATCGTCGCCACGGGAATACATGGAGGTCGTCGAAGCGATCGCGCAGTACATGTGGATCGTTCCAGAGTCATTGCACGACAGCGTGAAAGAGCTCGAATTCGTATTGTTTCGCATCGAAGAATTCTTACGCGTCGAGGAAGAGACGCGCGTGCGCATAGCTAAGGAGGAAGAACGGAAACTGAGAGATCTCTGCAAGTCGGCGCCAGAGCGGAAGAAAGTGCGGCGCAGGTGACAGCTAGAATTAGTGGCGTATTGTTGTTGTACTGATGATTATTTTACAAGTACCTAGAGTTGAGCGGCGCCGGATTTCACTCCTCTTCCCGGCTTCCACGACTTCGCGCTCTCGGCTCGAGCGAGTTTTGCCTGCGCCTTGAGTTGGTCAACGTAGTTCATCGTGGGAGACTCATCCAGCGCGTCTCGGGCCTGACTTTTGGAAGTCTGACTCCTCAGACTTGGCGGAGGCGGTGAAACTTTCATCATGCCGTACTCACTATCGCTGTGGTTCGATTTCGCCTTCGAAACGCGGTCATTCCAGGCGCGTCTCGGCGCGGTGGACGCCCGAGCAAAGCTCGTACCCGTCTCTGAACTCATGCCTTCGTCCTCCGGGACGGATCTCAGCCCGAGTCTCGCGAGTTTCTCCTCCGCACTCATCACTCCCATAGATTTGAGCAGGTCCGAGCGCAGTACCGAGGTGACCATCTTCGGCCTCTCTGGCGTGGTCGGGGACACCGCTTCGCCCTGACTGCTCGCGTTTTCAAACTGCGTCCGCATCTCGCGAGATTTCGCGTTTTTCGGGTTCAGGATCGTACCAGCGCTGGAACTTCGCTCGGAATTGTCGCGACGAGAACTCTTCATATCTCCTGCCCACGAGTTCCCTCGCTCCTGCCACGGTTGGACGTGCACTGGCTTGTTCAGACTGTCGACGCGCTCGCCAAGTTGAGTTATCTCATCCCGAACGCGCTCAGCGTTCGAACCCGCGCGCTCGGCGATGGCTAGAAGTTTCTCTAATTTCGTCTCGTACGCGTTCGCCGGCTTCGTCCATCGAGTCGCGCCTTCTCGCTTCTTCACGCTCGATGCGCGAGGCGGAAGCTGAAGCGTTTCAGGCGGCGGGACCACGTCGAGTACTTGCGCTTCTCCCTCGCCCGCCTCCGCCGCCACGTCTCTCGCGACTGCAACTCTGGCTTGTCGTCTCAGCTCCTGTCGCGTCCGTTTCGCCGTCGCTTCCACGTCGCGAAGTGCCGCCGCGCGGTCTCTTCTCTCACCCGAGTTCTCTTCACCGCTCCCGTTCAACTCTTCACTCTTCAGTCCATCTTCTGCCAATCGAAAGCTCACCGCGCGCGCCATCGCGGGCGAAGGTTTGGGGACCTCTCGAACCGAATCGCTTCGACCCGACCTCGACGGCTTGGACGCAGATTTCATCGGCGTCGGCATCTTCGGAAGCGACGCGCTCAGCGCGCGTCTCAACTCTTCGATCATCTTCGCGTCGCGCTCGGACGCCTCTGGTTCGCGTTCCACCGGCGATTCGCCCGCGTCCTCTCGCGCCGGCGGTTCTCGCGTCGGCGGTTCTCGCCCCGGCGAAGCTCCGTCATCCACTCGCGCCGCCGCCGCGCCGTCATCCGCTCGGCCGTCATCCGG